GTGCTTAGAACGCTCAGCTCCATCTTACTAACGAGAATGATAATTTAGTACCAAATACTCACAAGGAATTATAGCTCTGCTGACTGGCAAATAATTTGCCAAGGCAGATTAGTTTAGCTGCATAAAATAAATATCCACCTGCACATGGTAGCACTAATCAGGGCGTGAAATTAAACTTTTTATTCAGTGGGAAATAACTGCTGCAAGGCGGCGATTTAGGCTAGGAAGCAAATATTAAGGTCAGCCTATCCTCTCTGATGTTTATAGAACATATAATAGTGCAGAGAACACGGTGCAACAAATTCTGCTTTTTAAGTCCTTGAAACTAAATACTTCAGCAATGTGAGAGCAAATTTGCCATTTGCTTTTCTAATTGAACACATTTAATGAAGCAAAGTGGCTGAAATGAAACATAACCAGGGAAGCAAAGGGTGAAGTTCTGGAAGCACCAACAGGGTGTGCTTAGAGCAGAAGAACCCAAACAGCTCTGCGAGTGTGGGGCAGAAGGAAAGAAATCAGTATAAACACTGGTTCCTACAAATCCTCCAGCTGAGAGAACGTTACCTGAGTTCTACTGGAGAAAAATACTAAGAGTACATTTAAAATTCAAAGAGGTTTTGCAACTTCACATTCAGGAAGCAACTGCCGTCCCAGCTTCTGTTGTACAATTCTGTTGTACAGAATTACTCCCATTGCTGTCATGCTACTCTTCCTCTGGATACCCAAGATTCTACAACAAAGTTAGCACAACATAAATGTCAGTAGGAAGGTGGTAAAGGTTTTAAAGCAGAGTTTTAAACAGTAGTTAATGAGTCCCAGCTCTTCAAAATCCAAGTGCTACTGATGCCACAAACCATATGTGTTCTGTGCAAAGGGAACCCTCTGATTCGTTTCTGTCCACCTGTTCTGCATGTGTGTGAATATACATATAGAAAAGAGCAAGCCAGGGATTCCAAGGTTTGGTACCTTTCAGCCTTCACTGCACTGACCACGTCACCTGCCAGTAGCACCTGCAAGGATGTAATACCAAAATAGAGGAACTTCAGACAAAAAGTAAAGAACAAATCCATCTTAAAAGACACCAGTTTGTGCTCTTCTATGAAATCAGAAGGCAATCAGGACCTTCTAGAATCACGATGCCCAGAAAGAAAACACTAATGAGTGTTAAATGGAAAAAGAAATTCATGAAGAACACTGGTATCAACATCCTCCTATTCACAAGCCAGGAAATTAAATGAAGTACTGCAAATTGATTCACCCAGAGAAACTGAGAAAGTGAAACTGCATTAAACACCAAGTTATTGCTTGCCAAACTATCGCAGACGGATCCCACACTGGTCAGGTGCAGCTCCAAGCACTCCTAATTAAACACAACTGGAGTTGCCACAAGTCCATTCGTGCAAACAGATGTTACTTCATAGAGCCTTGATATTTTTCTTAAATACCTCTCAAAATGAGGAACAAAAAATATGAACTCTTATAAAAAGGGCTTTATTGTATTTTTATAGCATATTACATACCTTGTAACAATCATTCCGTTAAGTGTGAATGTCAGTTTTATTTTCTGTCCCTTTTTTCCTGGCTATTTACAAGCTTTGTAAGAATCGTTCCTTAATTAAGTCTAAACATAGTTTTATATAAATGGATTCCTGGAATTAAAAACGTTCAGACTTAAGAAATGATTGTTACAGAGACTGTAACAGGCCGTAAAAAAAGAATGCCACTTTAAACAAAGATTTCTCATTTTAATTAAAAAGATAATCATCAGAACATTCGTACACTTAACAGAACCATTTGAAGCTACTTTGAAAAAAATATCTACTATTCTACGCAGGCAGATGTAGTTTACTTTATATGACATTTAATCAAAGTCTCAGTTGAGCCTATTGCACTCACGCTTTAAATACTGTATCTACAGTTGTAAACACTTCATTCAGCTGTGGAAGTTCCTCATCGAGCACCTCGTTCCCGGTACTTCTGTAAGTGGTTATGACAACAGAAACCCCGCATTCTTGAAGGAATAAAAGCAGAGCTCTGTAAGGCACGCTTCTGTCGATGACGGTGGCTTTTTTAAACCAATGGGCAGAGCTGTCTCTCCTTTTAGCACACGCACCAGTCCCTTAGAGCTGCACTCTTCATGAAGCGCAGCGCGTATCTCAAGGGTTTCAGAAACACCAAAAGGCCCTGAGATAAACCGAGGCGCCACACCAACAAAACCCTTGGTGTAGCTGCAGAGCACTGGGCTGTGTAATTTACAACGTTGTCTTTTAAATCTATCAACTAGCTTTCACTCAAAAGAAGCTTTGAAAGATGACGTGTAGAGTGTGTGATAGACAGCAGTCCTTTGCCAGCAGATACAGCCCTCCCTGGTGAGCAGCTGCTCAGTACTGCATAATGCTCATCCGCCACAGCTGAATATCAAATAAATTAGGCCTTCTTGCAGAGGTAAACTGAGTAGGTGAATGATGCTAAATACATTACTCAAAGCTGAAAGTATCAGATGACACCTACGGTAGCTGAAAGCACACCTGGAAAACTGGTAGCAGATATTACCCAAAGGCAACACCGTTTCATTGGCAAGTAACAGAGACAATAGCAGCCAGGGAGAACAATGAGATTTTAGTCTCACTGAAAAGTTACACACACACCAGCATTCAGAACCTTGTCTTTCAAGGTAATGAATACGGACACATTAAAAAATAAATAGCCCCTTTTAAGGCAAGATAATGTCATTTATAAGGTTAGCACTGGATGAATTTTCCACGTGACATTTTTCTCTGAGACATGAGATCAGCAGGTCTGCCTTGCCTGATACCTTGTGACTCAGGAGCACTGCTCAAAGTCACTGCTGAAAATGAGGCACTGTCACTTAGTGGAAAAAGTATTATTTTCTAGAGAAGCCCAAAAATAACACCACCTACAGGGCTGCTTTCCAACACAAAATGAAACCCAACGCAAATTCACATTAGAAACAGAACCACCAAAAAAGCTGGAGAGATAATAGATCACACCTACAAAAGACATTTGAGTATTCACCTACAGTGAGATACCTCAGCACTAGGAAAGCCTTAGGGAAAAGCCACTAATTAACAGCAAAGCCCACCTCAACCCAAAGCACAGCCCTTCTGGGAAGGCAGCAGCACACAGAGTACATCACACACTCAGATGACAGGGTAATATGCTGTGAATGATTCAGCATTAGCTGAGGATCCACTACCTCCGTGCAGATGACTGTAGCAATGCCATTACTGCAGTACCTAAGCACTTTCTGAGTCCTGACAGACTGAGAGGAGACTTCCAGACAGACAGGAGACTTCCCAGCAGCACCGAGCTGATATTTACAATGGGATCTCATTTATTGGAACAACCTACCTGCATACACCTCCACCAACAGCAAACGGAGAACAGGGAAAGACCTCACTGAGTCTGACAGAAACTCTTCGTCAACATAATTAAAATGATAGAAGGACTACACAGACGCATGTCAAAGCAAAAGCCTGAGATGTGGCATAAACAAAAGCTTTTATCACTCTCAGGCCATACAGATATACCTAAAAAGTTCGAGGGGATCAGAGGGAAGCTCACTCTTTCACTGCAATTTTGCATGCATTTTGCTTTCAAGAGGCACTTTAATAAAACATTAAGGAACTTGGCTTAGCTTTTAGCTCTCAGTGAAGTCTGATCCTCAATAATTCTTTCCTTTATCTGGAGCCCTTACCAGATGCAGCTCTCATAACAGCAGCTCTCTCTCATGCTTAGGTCTCTCCTCAGCATCACGGAGCTTTATTGTTCAGGTGGCACGCTGCCAGCTGTGAGATGAGCAGGGATTCCCTCAGGTCCCAGGCCCAACTTTATGGAAGAGTGCAAATGCCTGGAACTAAGCTACTGCTTGGAAACTTAAGCACACAATGACAAAAGCAGTGCGTGAGGGCAGCACACAGAAACATCTGAGGATACAGAAGTCGCTATGTAGACTAAGGCTGTCACCACCCAGCTTGGCCCAACATGATCACAGCAGGCTCAGGGACAGTCCTTTGGCCAATTGCACGCCCAAGAAGGTGGTTTATTATTACTAATTGCTACCTTTCCTGTTTAGGTATCCACAGCATTTTCCACTTCACTGAGCAGAGACCCTATAAGTCTGCCAGACTACAGGGCTAGCAGCAAAAAGGTCACCGAACCACAAGAGAAACGAGTTCTGCAGAATTAAAAAAGCAGAAGTCAAACAAATGTTGCAAACCTCAAATAAAAAGAAAACATTTGCAAGTAGCACTTCCTTGATTTCACTTGGGTATACGTTCTGAAGGTCTAACAGAATCGCTTCCTTCTGATGAGCTCACATTTAGGTCTGTAGGACTGGAAATACCAACCCAAAGTTCACTTTCACCACGCGCTGCCAGGCATTTAGGTGATGTCCATAGGGAAAGGGTAGTTTCAGGCACACAACATTACATTCCATTCAGATGGTACCAGCGTGTTTCCATTTCTAAGCTGCATGTTTCTAGCCTAAAAGGTTTAGAAATATCAACAGCTAAAGTAAAAAAAAAAATAAAAAAAGGAATTTAACTACAGCTGAAGTGTCGGAAGTCTCAAATCTAGGCACAAGCGCAGAGCATCTCAGATGCGAGCAGCCCCAAATGTGCCTGCCATGGCCCAAGGGCGGCCCACAGGCCCAGGCCGCGCACATCCACCACTACTGCAACGCAGCAGGAGGTGAGAGCGAGGTGTCGGTGCGCGGCCGCGCGGGCAGGGCGGAAAGGAACACGGAACAAAGCTGCAGGGGGACGGGGCGCAGCACAGCACAGCCTAAAGTACGGGAACGAAGGGAAAAACCCAAGATTCCCCCGCGTACCGTCCCGCCCCGCGGCCCCTCGCCCCGCACGACTCCCCTCCCCTCCCGACACGAAACCCCCCCCGCGGCCCAGGGCACCCCGACCCGGCGCCGCCCCCCGCCCCCGCCGAGCACGCAGGTGCCCCCTCCGCTCCCCGCGGCCCCTCACCATGAACTTCAGGGCCTTCTCTTGCAGCACGGCCTCGGCCGGGTCCATAGCCGTGCGCGGGGCCGCCGTCGCCCCTCCTCGCAGCGCCAGGCCGCACCGAGCGCCGACGGGAACCTGCGCTGCCCCGCGCGCCCCCCCCCCGCCTCACCCCCGCCGCCGGCAGAGCGCATGCGCCGCCCGCGGGCCCACGGGAAATGGAGTCTCCCGCCGCGCCGCCGGCGAGGGCCCGAGGGTGAGAGAGAACTACAAATCCCAGAGGGCGGTGCGGCAACGGGTATGCCGGGAGCCGGGTGGTGCACACGCCGTCAGCGGGCGAGAGAGCTGCTGGGAGTTGTAGTACGGAGCGCTGCGTGACTTGAGGGCAGGGGCGGAAAGGAGGCCGCTGTTTGCGGGCGAGGAGAGCCCCTTTTCTGGGGACGTTTGGGCTGTTGTCTCCCTGCGCTGTTTCTAATTAGCATCACACGCGTGGCTAATGAAAGGAGATCCCGAGTGCACATTCCCGACGCTAGGCTCCTGGCTCTGCTGGCGGACCGCTCCGCACCGTGCCCACGCAGCAGCGATTTCTGAGTCACTGCTCACTTTAATGCAGCCCGGACACCACCCGCCACTCATCCCGTGCACTGGCACATCTCTACGTGCACTGAACCGGTACCAAACGCATTTAGGGAACTGTGTACGGCCGGTCAGTGGTGGGTGTTGCTGCCCCTCGGCAGCGCGGCACAAACTGCGGAGAATGGCAGCTCTGGAGGGGATCGCACAGACTGGCTCTGCTCAAATCTCTCCACAGTCACCTCCTCACATCGCCAGCCTCCCGGGCTGCTTCTTCTTCCCTTGGCATAACGATGCTAAATCACTTTTCCCTCAAAATGAGGCCAAACGCCTTGCTGCATCAAGCAGTGAGCAATCAGGGAGCGCTGTCCAATGGCCCTTCGGTAACAGCTGCACATGGAGGAGGGTGTTTGTTGCAGCCCCCCGTGTCCCTGCTCCGTAATCTCCCCTATGCACACCAAATCGGAGCAGCCCACTTGTTGGCAGCCATCACCACTAATCCTCTCCATTTTGTTAATTTTGTCTAATCTCTTCCCAATTTGCCTGCATTTCTTACAGCCTGCCCAAAAGCTGAAGCTGCTTTACATGGAGCATCAGAGAGGGATTGCTTGCTTTTACCTTCCAATTGCTTCCATTTTACCTTTCCCTATAGTAAGCATGACACTGTATTCCTATATAATTTGTGATCCCAATTCTTCTCCTTGCTGCTTTTCTATACGTGATCCTGCACCTTAAGAAGTTTACCCTGAGTTTCTTCCAAGTTAGATGCAAAAGAGCCAACAACAAACATCAACTCCCTCTTGTTGACATTCAGCTTGAACCCATTCTTTCTGTTCCCGTGCTGGAGCGATACAATGAAGCTCCAAGCTGCAAGTACACTGCCAGCATCCCCTGCACACCAACCCTGCCCTTCATTTTCTCTGAACATCTCATCTTCAGGTTTCTAAACAAAGTAATCAGAGAGAACACGATGCATAGAAAGTGCCCATTACTGCATTCCTTGCAGGGACACCTGAGCTGGGTGGTGCCAGGCTGTGATGCTGGAGGAACTGTGCCCCTAGATGAGTAGCATGGGAGATGGTCGTAGGATAACCTTATGTGCTCTGGATCTCAAGGATGGAAGTCTTCCAGAAAAAAGTTCTCGGGTCATCAGGATATGAGCTGTTATTCTTGGCCTGTCCCAGTCACGTTCTGGGTCATTGTACTCAGCACTGAAATGCTTGGCTGTAACAAGCCTGGGCATTTTCCAAAATGCTGACAGTGCTGAAAACTCTTACCACAATTATGTAAATGACAGTAATTATAACAAGAGAGTCCTATAATTGCAAAGGGATGGCTCCTGTAACAGTATTGCAGGCAACTGAGGGTCACAAGTACTGGAAGCACAGCTCTCCTGCTCCTTCATGTAAGCATAGTTCATGGGTGGGATAAGAGAGAATCCCCTCAGCAGCAGCTTGGCAGCTTCGGGCTTTGGTGGTACATTTTGTCAGTAATGCTTGATGCTGGCCCAATTGTAGGAAAACTAGGAAGTGTAATACTGCAGCACCAGATACCACTGTCCCAAAGCCCTCTGGGCTGACTGATGTGTCTTTAACCTAAAGGTAAGTTCTTGGGATCATAAAAAGCATAGGTTCATAGTGGATCCAAAACAGTAATGGCTGCTTAAGAACTGGAGTTCTATCCTTCACCTAAACTGGACTGAACCTTGGTAGAAGAAGAGACCAGCTCAGTTCTCATCAGCAGAACATCGTGGACCCACAATACAGGACAGACCAGAGGGACAGGACAGATCTGTGAGCACCCCAAGTCAGCCCACAGAGACAGAGCGCCAAGGAAGGAGTTGGAATTACAACAAGTTAAATAACAATTTGTTTGGATTGCAAGAACCCAGGGATGGACACATGGTCAGTTCTGCCTCAACCACAGCAGAGCTACACTGGCAACTCCTGTTAATCTCTCTTGAAACAGCAACCATACATCCCCTTCCTGCAATCCCCATCCTTCCTGCAGAGTGTGTTGCACAAAGCCAGCCACACACCGCACAGGGAGCTCCCAGTCCTTCCAGATGAAGGATGCTACCTAACGGTAAAGATATTACTGTGATTATTTTTGCACTAGCATATTGCTCTGTGCATTCTGGGCTCTGCGGACCACATCCACGCCTGGTGTAACGCCATGTTAATTTGCTGTGGCAATCATTAATTGGGTAAGGAACAGCTGGTGCTTTGCTTTAAGTGAAGCTGATTGGGTCAGTAACTGTTTGGGTAAATGATGTACAGCAGGTAAAGCCTTGCCTCTGTCTGCACTCCAGAGGGGGTTTCACTTCTTGTCCCAGTGACCCTTGGAGGAAGCAGTACAATTTGGCCATGAAACATTAGGGAACTGTAATCAGTACAGTTCCTCTGGGCATTTTTGCCTGAATTTTAATATTTTGAATAATAAAGAATGATTTTAAATTAAATTTGTGGGCTCACCATCTGTGTGTGCTTGGCCTTGTTTTCCGCTGCTTTGGCAGTCCCTTGACTTTGTTCTTTCCAAGTTGCAGCAAAAAGGAAGGGAACAAGGGGTCTGGTGCTCTCCCTTCTTTTTCCCTTTGTCCTGCAGCAACCAGTGTTGCACAGCACTGAGCACGCCAATGGGAGCCAGGCAGCACCCAGTGGGATAAAAGCTGCTGAGTGCAGCGAGGAATACTGTACCTAGAAAGCAACACAGCTGAGCATCCCTCTAGTACTGCTCAACTTCTCCAGTGCATCCCACCCACGTGGGATGGCTGTGTGCTTTGTGCAGGGACTAGTTGGACAGTACCTTGGAATCTTAGGGGCAGGATGCCTCCCTACAGCCGAGAACTAAAGGAGATGCAGTCATTTGTGCAAGAGGAAGAGAAGAGAGCCCAAAATCATGTGGTTTGATTTATGTTCACTACATGGCTTGAACAAGGCAATACCCATCATTTGCATCCCCCTCTCCTGTCTCTGCCCAGTCACGCGCTTTTCATTCTCTGCCAGTTCTGATGCTCGTTTGCTAGCTGTTTTATTTGCTATAGTGGCAGAAGAATGACAGTCAGGGCATACCAATGAATTATTTGTTGGTTGTTGAGTCAAACTGACTCTCTGTGCCCCTAGACAAATAGCAGAGCTGCTGTGAGGGTAAGGAGGTACTGCTCTCCAGGGCAGGGGAGAATGAGCCCCGTCCTTCCCAGCAATGGGCAGCTGCTAATTACACAGGAAACAGGAGAGAAACCACACATCTTTAAGCACCAAGGTCTCCTGGCCTCCATCACAGGGTGCCAATCTGGAATCCTTGAGCAAGGACCTGGAGGGCTCCTGCTCCCCCAAAGATGCATCCTCCAGTGACTGCAGCATCTTCTGGCAGCCTGTACTTGGGACAGCAGTGATGATGAGGTCACCTGGTCCTTGGCAAAGGCGAGAGTATCACTGTGGGCTCAGCATCACTGCTTGGATAGTGGGGAAAGGGGGAAAAAGATTTATTCTTACAGGGATTTAAAAAAAAAAAAAACAAAAAACAAAAAACACCAAACCTGACCCAACAGAACAAAACCAACCCCAACAAGTATCTCACAGCCAGAAAAGCTTTTTAAAGCCTCATGAATATTTAGCTTGTCCTCATGTAAAATATATGACTTTGTGTAAGGATCAGGCAAAGGAGGTGCATGATTTTTTTCTGATTTATGGGCCCAGCAACGGATTATTCATAGCAGAGCAGCTGTGTGGAAAGATTCATCCACTGCAAAATGTGATTGTACATCAGGCAGTGTGAGGGAACAGAGCTATGACTAATGGCTACTTTACATATAAATGAGAAGGTTGGCGCTAAGAACTGTAAAAAGAAAAAAAAATACAATCACTCAGCTGACGGACCCAGCCTCTTCCTGCAAACACTGCACAGGGGCCCGGAGAAGACAGAAGAAGGCTGCCTGGAGGCACTGCCTCCCCTCATATCCTCCACCAGGCCGTAAATAAGGTAACAGCAGTCAAGGCATCCGAAGGCCAGATTTGTTGCTGGTGTCAACACACGGGCTGCAGGAGAAAGCAGGAGCAGGGACGTGCCCCCTGGTTGGGCTGGGGCAGACCCAGCCATGCCCAAAGGTTGAAGGCAATGCTTTGAGGTGCCCAGCACAGCCCCATGCCCCTCCCACCTGCAGCCCCTCCAGCCACATTGTCTAGACGCTACAGATGTGGACAGATGTTGGGGCTGTAATTTATAACAATGGCCTCCAGAAGGCAATTCTAATTTGTTTCGCTAAAGCTTTAAGTTACAGGCAGCAAGATCTCCTGTAAATACTCTTGACTTACTCAGTAAGTATGTAAGAGCCTGGCAAATGCCCATGATCATTGCTTTCCTTGTGCCTCATAGTTCTTGGGGGTGGCATTATAATCCACAGGTCCAAAAGCCATCGTGCACTGATGAGAGGCTCAGCAGGGCCCAAAACACCCAAGTTACTGACTAACAGGGTTCATGGGTTGCTTCTCTACCATCGCTCACCTGCTTAAGTGAGAGGGATGCTTCCAGTGAGAG